GATATTCATTTTAAGGGTGATTACGACTGCACTGTTGTTTATCAGAGCGGAAAACCAGTGATCTATGCAGATCGATCAAGTAGCCATGAGAACATGTATTTGGTTCGTGCTAGAATGCCGAAAGCTAAAGTGTCGATGTTGTCTATCTCTAAAAATTTGGTGGAGAGACAAGAAGAACGACAAAATCGTGTGGAAAAGAAAGGTCATTACAATTGGATGAAGAAAGAAAAGCGATGTTATCGAAGTGACTGTGATAAAGGAATTGTGAACAAATTCAGATCAGTCGAAGTACCTGTTCAGAACGGCATAGCAGAGAATACTGTTGAACAAGTTGTTACAGCTATTTCTGGTGAAAGCTTGCCTGACGTTTCTGATGATATTGTGGTACCGTCAACTTCGTGTGATGAATCGTTTGTTGGATCATCCAGTGAAATTGTAAACAAGTGTGATGACAGACAANAAAAATTTGGTGGAGAGACAAGAAGAACGACAAAATCGTGTGGAAAAGAAAGGTCATTACAATTGGATGAAGAAAGAAAAGCGATGTTATCGAAGTGATTGTGATCAAGGAATTGTGAACAAATTCGAATCAGTCGAAGTACCTGAACAGAACGGCATAGCAGAGAATAGTGTTGAACAAGTTGTTGCATCTATTTCTGGTGAAAGCTTGCCTGACGTTTCTGATGATATTGTGGTACCGTCAACTTCGTGTGATGAATCGTTTGTTGGATCATCCAGTGAAATTGTAAACAAGTGTGATGACAGACAAGAAGTGTCTACGCAAATAGGGGAGCTTGAACAAGTTTTGTGGTTCACTCTTCCTAGGACGTTTGCTGGAACAACGACAACTAAGAAGCNTGTTGAACAAGTTGTTACAGCTATTTCTGGTGAAAGCTTGCCTGACGTTTCTGATGATATTGTGGTACCGTCAACTTCGTGTGATGAATCGTTTGTTGGATCATCCAGTGAAATTGTAAACAAGTGTGATGACAGACAAGAAGTGTCTACGCAAATAGGGGAGCTTGAACAAGTTTTGTGGTTCACTCTTCCTAGGACGTTTGCTGGAACAACGACAACTAAGATGCATGTTCCGAATCTAAATCGTGATCAGATTGCGGCAATTGTCTATCGATGGTTCATTGTGTACAACCATAATTCTGATGGATTGCCTGGTGGTCTTTTACCATTGTTACTTGGTCATTTATATCAAGGTCGTATTTTAGTGGTAAATGATTGTATATCGACAAGGGGAGTGTTGAGGATTGCTCGATCAACAATCATTGTATATTATATTAATGTTAATTAATTAATGTAACTGTTGTTACCACTATATATACAGACCATAGTTCAGTACTATTAAATATATCTTTCTACCACTCTACCAATACTTCTACTGCACTATACTTTATCAATAGTTTTCATTCAACGGTTGATCATGTTTCGATTATTTGTCTTGTGATCTTGATTCTTCTTCTTGGTTGCTGTGGAAATTTTCATTTGTTTTTCTTTTCATTTGTTTATGTAAATTTTCCTATCAAATAGTTTTTGTGATCCATATTCATTCCGTTTTTTTTTGTTTCGCATAATAAACCAATAGAAAAACTTTACCTTATACAATCTATATAAATCATATGGATGATTACGATTGATTTTTTTTTAACTTTAACTTGTTTATTATTATTATCATCATTCCTTTGAATAATAATAATAACAATAATAAAATCAACGTAATAACTTGTTGCGAAATCATCATCATTATCATTTTTTTCTAAAAATATGATAAAAAATTATTGATTTGAATCATTGATTAGCTATTGTTATTATTATTTTTCTAAGAAAACTTTCAAAATTTATTTTTTTTTTATATATGTCTTCAATCGATTCTTGTTGTTGTTTAATTTGAATATTTCTTTCGTTTTTTTCATTGTTTCATTGATTCATCATATCTATTTTGTTCATTTGAATTTTTTTTCATTTTTCCAAAATCGATTGACATCCACAACAACAACTGAAACAAAAAGAATGTTGAAATAATTGTGACTTGGTGTCAATTTGAACACAATCGAAATGGAAAAATGAATTACCATTTTGAAAAAAAGATTCTATCAAGATCATCATCACAATCGTTTTGAATTGTTTTCTTTTTATCTGATCAATAAGTGTTTGTTGATATAAACAAGAAAGAGAGAGAGAGAGAGAGATAATAGAAATGGAAAATAGAATTGAATTCTTTGAATAGAATTTTAACATTTTTCTTTTTTCGCACATTTGATAATCATAAAAGAAATGCAAATGATTATGAATGAATGAATTTCCTTTCAAATGAATCGATTCATTGATGAATGAATTGAATTTGGAATAAATTTTTCTGTTTGACAATCACTATTGATTTTGTATTGATTGATAAATGATTGATTGACACATTTTTGAATGAAAATTGTTTTGACAATTGTTGGTCATTGTTTCGATTTTCAATAATGAATTTTTTCGATTTTTGTTTTCGCGCTGGAAACAAAACAAAAAAAGGGAGACTTTTGTGTTGTGAATTTGATTTGATTTTTTTCTTCAACTTTGTCATCATTGTCATACACACAAACAAACATTCTGTTTGTTTGTTTAAATCAACCAGATAAAAAACCAAAAAAAAAAATTTCGAAATTTCAATAATATTCTGGATTTTTATTTCCCCATCAATGTTGTTGTTGTTGTTATTGCCATCAATAAATTAATTATGTAATTGTCAAACATTGTCGAGAAAAAAAAATCCATAAAAAACAGAAAAAAAATNTTTTGAAAAAAAGATTCTATCAAGATCATCATCACAATCGTTTTGAATTGTTTTCTTTTTATCTGATCAATAAGTGTTTGTTGTTTGTTGATATAACCAAAAGAGAGAGAGAGAGAGAGAGAGAGAGAGAGAGAGAGAGAGAGAATAGAAATGGAAAATAGAATTGAATTCTTTGAATTGGAATTGAATTTTAACATTTTTCTTTTTTTCGCACATTTGATAATCATAAAAGAAATGCAAATGAATGAATGAATTTCCTTTCAAATGAATCGATTCATTGATGAATTGAATTGAATATTATCATTGAATTTGGAATAAATTTTTCTTGGTTGACAATCACTATTGATTTTGTATTGATTGATAAATGATTGATTGTCACATTTTTGTATGAAAATTGTTGGTCATTGTTTCGATTTTTGAATAATGAATTTTTTCGATTTTTGTTTTGCTTAAAACAAAACAAAACAAAAAAGGGAGACTTTTTTTCTTCAACTTTGTCATTGTCATTCACACAAACAAACAAACAAACAAACACACAGAATATGTGTTTGTTTAAATCAACCAGATAAAAATTTCGAAATTTCAATAATATTCTGGATTTTTATTTTCCCATCAATGTTGTTGTTGTTGTTATTGCCATCAATAAATTAATTATGTAATTGTCAAACATTGTCGAGAGAAATAAAAAATCCCTGATAAAACAGAAAAAAATCAGGAATTTATTTTTTGTTTTTGTTGTTGTTGTTTCCATGCAAAAATCCACTCATTCAATGTCTCTGTTTATTATCAGCAAGTTTATTTTCATCGATGGGATTTGATACTGATATTTTCAATCAGCTTTTCCTTTCTCCATTGAATTTGTTTTGAATTTGTCATATATAACGGAATTAATGCTCTTGGCGCTCTTGGATAGATAGATTGGATGCAGCAAGAATATATTCATCATCATGATGATGTTTCTCTGGTCTGATCTTTGATTCTCTGGTTGACTACTATCTGTCTATCTATCTCTGTCTCTCTTGGTGATGATATTCACCCTCCGCCTGCTTATTAATATTGATCGAAACAAGGCCCACAAAAACAAAACAAAAAATGAATTAATTATCATTGATGATAATAGAAAGCCAATGAAGAAAAAAAATTAATGTTATTTCTGCTGTTTGTTTGTTTGTTTGTTTTGTTTGCCTGTTTGCCAATGATAATTTCAAATTGTATTTCAAAAATTTGATTAGATTTTCGTTAGAAACAAAAAAAAATGAGATGTAACAAAATCTTGCTGTACCTTGATATGAAAATGAAACAACAACAAATGAAAATAAAATTATCTTCCGGTCATCATAATTGAAACAAGGGGAAAGCAAATTTCCAGAAAGATCTTATGATCATCATCATCATCATCGATGGTCAATTTTTTTTCCAGAAATTTCGATCAAATTTCCTTCGAAATATAATTTTTTTCTCCAATTTTCCTTCATTCATTCATTCATTCATTCACAAATCATTATTATGATTATTATTAATGATGATAATGATAACAAGATTTTCATAAAAAATTCAGAAACAAAAAATAAGACTAATGTAACTAAGATGAACATCATTCATTTTATATGATGTTATTTGATCATCATCATCATCATTATCATCATCAACATCATCGTTTTCGAAATTGACTTATATTTAGAATACATTTTATTTCCATCTTTTTTCATCTTCTTCTGTTGTTCTTGGTTTATCGTATTGTTTATCATTCTTTTCTTTTTTTCTGTTACTTTTTTGTTGTCATTTTCAATTTATCAAAATGTCAACAAGATGTGTGATTGGTGATAAAGAGAGAACGAGAAAAATGTAATGTAAGACAACATTCAAGCAAGTGTAAGATGTGATATTTGTAATTAAATACACACTGGATATTTAAAATAGAGTAAGCGAAAAATCGATTGAAAAATGAAAGATCTTTCGGTTGATTGAGAAATTTTTCATTTCAAAAAAAGAAAAGAAAACAGAATTTTATCAAGATAAAAAACTTTTCATAAAATGTGTGCGTTTTACCGAAATAAAAGAATATTCATTATTGAAATTGATTTTTTGATATCAAATTACAATGTAATAGATAGATAGATAAGTTAGTTAGTTAGTTAGTTAGTTAAGTATTGATTCTCATCATTCAATTTAATCAAATTGAATGATTTGAAAATTAAGTTTTTCTTTTCCTTTTTCCTTTTCTCTGTTTAATCATCAATTTTCTCAATCAATTTTTTTATATTTCTGTTTTTGACTTTTTTTTTTTGTTTTTGTTTATTCCGGCCATTTTGTTGTTACATTTTGGTTTCTTTTTCGATCCAAGTAATTGAAAATCTTGGTGGATTCTTCTTCCTATTGTTTGTTTTTTTGAGGGAAATCGTTCATCCGAATCAAACATTTTTGTTTTGGCCGTTTGTTTTATCAATTTTCTTTTGTTTTGTTTTGTTTTTTTTGGTATGTGGGCGTCATTGAACAACAACAACCAGCAACAAACATAACAACAGCACCGATAAACCCCAAAAAAAAAAAATTCAAAACAACAAAATTATGACCTAAACATTCGATAACTAATTGATTTATAACGCCTTAATCATGTCATTTTTTTTATCTAATGAGCTTTTTTTTTATCTATTATAAACAATGGTTTGTGTCTGTGGATAATGAATGTAGAAAATATTGGGAAAAAAATGTAACCCTATGATAAAATTAAATTGTAATAGGCAAACAAAAAACGATTGATTACAAATGATTACGAATGGGAAATGTTTCGGAAACTTTTTCCCATTTTGAAAAAAACATTTTTCTTATTTTCAAATATCATCAACATTATTCATTTATGGATGTGCATTATAATGTCAAAAATTACTGAACAGAATACCATGTTTTGTTTTTACTTTTCAAATCATCAACTTATTCTGTTGTATTGTGTAATTTTGAATGTTCATAAAACAACATACAATATTTGAATGTAACATAAAGAATATCAAATCATTAAATGATTGATCAGAATCGAAACAAATAACATTCGTTTTTTTGCTAAAACATCTTATTTCATTTTCTATTATTACTTATTAAACAAAAACAAAAACGAAAAAAAAGAAAAGATTATTTACTGTACTGTTTTTGTTTTTGTTTTTGATTCTGGAAACATTATTCTTCTTTATAATTCTTTAATGAAGAATATTCTTTGCTTTTTCTTCTTTCTGTTTGTTTGTTTGGCTTCGGGTAATACATAATAATAATAATAATAATTAATTTCAATCAATCATTCATCATCATCATTGATATGATTGATGATGATCACCATCATCATTATTATTCCGGATTCTGGATTCTGGATAACTAAACTGCCTATAGGACAAATTGTGTTTGGTCATTTTTCGTTTTCTCCATTCCATTCAATTTGAATCATAAATCATATCGTTTTTTTTGCTGATCTCCAGTATATTTTTTCGGTCGGTTTGCTGTTTGTTGTTTGTTGATGTTTAATGGAAAATTTAATGGAAAAAAAATTTGTTTTCCCTCTCTTGAAATTGACCATTTTTTTAAATTTTTAATCATTTTAAATTGAAAAAAATTTTCCATTGGT